ATTGCAGAGATACTGAATTTGGTGTCTAGTTTGTATTATTCTACACAGATATTGCTTTAATAATTGTAATGTGAATGTCATAATTTCTCATTTAATTTTAATTTTAAACTTTTTTTGAAAAACATTTTAAAATTGTTTCTTGTAAATTTTAAAATACAAAATAAATTTATTTAAATTATAGCATACATTTTTAAAACCTTAAATTTGCATCTATCCAGAACTGAATTCTGTGTTTCTATTATGAGTGATCTTTACCAAGAGGTAGGTGTCCCCTGGCTGGAACAGGTGGTCTCAGGGTTGCCCTTATTTATTTATCTGACTTCTGCTCAGGGGGCTCAGCTTCCCCGTGCAATTTTTACTTGGGAGAAAAAAAAACAGAGTAGGGCTTTCCTTGCCCCACTCCATTGAAGTCACACTGACTTCAGTGAGACTGCTCCCATGATGCCCAATTGTAACCCTATGTATGACAAGCATAATTGGATAAAATTAAATTGGTATAGCATTGCTGGATACTTCTCCTTACGGGCTCTTCTCCTGAAAGGTAGTGGTGAGAGAACCAACTGCTGGATTTAATTTGTCTTTGTGTAGCTCCACTGGAATCCCTGGGGTTACTTACATAAATAAGTAGCAGAATCAGGCCCTTGTCCCCTATATGCTCACTTGACATAATCGCTAAACTTTGATGGTTTGGGAATTATTTTGATCTTCAGAACGATTATATATGCTTTCATTTTTCAGTTCAAAGAAAACTGTTGACAGTTTTGGTTGGAAGTCAGATCCCTCTTGGAGGGCTCTAATAGCTAGAGAGCACTAGTGCCTGGTGTTTATTACCCATAGACTCTGGAACTTTTCAAATGCTACTGCTTCCACATGACAAACTTTCCATATCTCACGGGAAAAAAGCTGTATTTGTTGCATGCAGCCATTGTTCGATCTTGTTCAAGGTGTAGTATCTTCCCATGCAACTCTACATTCTAATGTAACTTCAAAAAGAATATTTAGTTTAACCTTTATTTGAAGAAATGAATTGGAGATCACCTTGATATCAAAACAAAGGAGGTCATATTCAAACAGAATTCAATTATATCTGATTGGAAGTTTAAAGTATTCAAGTGGCAAGAGCTGGATAATGAGCATAGGAACAAAGTACTGTGAATTCTCAAGGGAGTTTATTCTTTCCCCTCACAATGATTTTGTTTACTAAAAAGAGTAAGTTAATTTCTAACAATTATAAATTGTTAATAAATTTTTGGCTTTGATATTTAAGTGCCTTTCCATCCTCTCATCTCTTGGCCTTTCCCATCCCACTGATTCTTTTTCTGCCTCAGATACAGTTGTCAAAAGAACATGTGGCTGTGTACCAAGGTCATGCATGGGGTATGTCTGGTAGTCAGAAGAGAAGGCCTTTCTGCTTCCATTTCCTTATATTGTATTTGCACTGAGATGTATAATACTTTGCCAGAAGTCACATTGGCTTCAATGAGTCTGTTCCCATGATGCCAGGTTGTAACCTTATATATATGCTCCACTGTACAGAAGGAGACATAAGAGCACAGCTATTTCCTTTGTAGGTTGTGTCATTAGCTGGGATCCTGGTTTTCTCTGTTTTAAAATCACAAATCCTCTGGTTTAAAAAAAAATCACCAAATTCTATAACTAAAAAGCCCCAAATCTGCATTTTTTACTACTAAAATGAAACACCACTATATGTATGTATGTATGTATTCGTTGAACAAAATGTTTTATATATTTACAATTTTAAGGCAATTTGGAAGCCTACCAGTGCCTCAATCTTTATGATAAAATACATTCTAAATACCTATATATTTTGGTATTTGATTTTGGGTTTTTTTCATAGAAAATCAGAGCTCCCCCTACTCCCCTTCACTCACCAGGATGCAGATCTAGCTGTGACTGTCTGCCCTGCTGCTTTGTGGCATTAAGCAGCCCATATATGCTAGTGCCCTTCTCCTGCCCCTCACTCCCAAGCCACAGCTCCACCAGCTTTGCTAGTGCCCTTCATTCCTGACATGCAGCCCCCTGCCCCTGCCAGTGCCCCTAACTCCTGACCCACAGCTTTCTACCCACTTCAGCCAGAGGGGGCCCCCACCTGGCCCCATGTGGACTCACAGGACTACAGTGGGGGAAAGGGCCAGAGGTGGGTCCCTTTGGGGGTGGTGAGGAGCTACATGGCCAGGCTGCTGGGGTTGGTGCTTGTGCTGCCTGGGTGGGGGGACCATGGCAAGACTGCCTGGTGTAGTGTGGAAGCCCCAGGCCAGGGCAAAGTGTTGCCAGTGGTGTTGCCCTCCTCTTCCCACCAGCCTGCGCTTGGGTTGGACTTGCTCCACTGCTGCCTACAGCATGGCCCAGGCCAGAGCCACACTTCCAGTCTGAACTGGATTCATCAGCAACACCAAGCACTGGCTCACACTATGCTGTAGCCTTTGGGAGCCAGACTCCTTCCCCCACTGCTGGCAGACACTTGCAGGCACAGACTCCCACATGCACACACACCCTTCACACCCCATCACAACCCCCCCCAACATAACCCCCCAGACAGTCCCTGGTCCTCCACCCTCACCCTCTATAGACTTACCTGTATCCAGCTGTCAGGGCTGCTCCCACCACCCCAAACAACTCCTTGAAGCTGGAACACTGCCAGCCTGCAAGGGGAAACCTATGGTTTCCTGCATCAAAGGGGTTAGGGCCTGTTTTTCTGTGTCAAAGAGGAAAATCCATATTATTCTATAGGAAATGGAAAACTTGGATTCCTGGTCATTAGAGAGGATTGTAAGTAAGGTTTATTGCAAGGTACTACTCAGACACATCAGTTTTGCACTATGTCTTCTAGCCACAAAACATATCATTACATCTCAACTTAAATTAGATATAGGCTTCTTGAACTCTGATGGCATAGGGAGAAGAGGTGTATGATTGAGCTAATTACAGAATGGACACCACTCAAAAGAGTAAGAAGCAGCTCTCCCAACCTGGCTCTCCAGAGCAGGCACTAGAACAACACCAGTCAAGTGACTCGGGGTTTATTTACTTGACTTCAGCCTGGAACCTGGCTTGCATTCAGCTGGGGTACAGTGTGCAGTTCTGGGCTCTATATTTTAGGCAGGACCTAGAGAAACTGGAAAAGATCTGGAGATGAACAACAAAGATGGTAAGCAGGTTAGAATGCAAAATGTACAAGGAAAGGTTGAGAAAACTAAACAGCTAACAACTAAACTAAAACTAAAACTAAATATTTAGTTTGGAAGGAAAAACAGGAGATTAAGGGGAAGACTTGAAAGACAGCCATAGTGAAGAGAGGAAACAACTGTTCTGCCTTGCTGTAGAGAACAGGACACAAAGCAACAGGTTCAAACTACAATAAAGTGGATTTAATCTCAGGGGAAAACATCTTTTATTACTAGAACAACTTCTACAGCAGGGGTGGGCAATTATTTGGCCCTGTGGGCCACAAAGGGAGTTTTGGTGAACAGTTGCAGGCCAGGTCAGCACCCCGCTCTGCCCCTGCACAATGGCCCACCAAAACTGGGATTACCCTACATGGTGATGATACTGTGGGGGCAGGACCCAGGGCAAAGCAGTGAACTGCTGCCCACACGCTCCCATGATGGGCGCCCGTTTTGCAGGCAGGGACATGCAGCGAACAAAATGTGGCCCTGTCCCAGATCCCAACCCTATGCTGTCACCACCCAGTGATCCTGGGGTGTCCATACCGGCCAGGACTCGTGTGGGTAGGGTATGTGGCCAGGCAGACAGCATGGGGCTGCAGGTGGGCAGGGAGCTGTGTCCAAGGCCTGGTTCGGGATCTTCCGGTGGTGACAGCGCAGGGCTGCCCCCTGTGCCTGGGCTGGGTGGGACCAAGGGACCGGTTGTGGGTGGACAATATGTCAGCTGACCAGACTGGCTGCAGGCCGTATTTTGCTCACTCCTGCCTGAGTTACTCCATGCTTTCTGTGAGGCAACTTTACCGTGGCACGCTGTGTAGATCAGTCTGCAGCAAATGTCTCACGCATCTGCACCCTAACCTTATCTACACTGCAGCAACAGCAGTAGGGACGGCAGCGCAGTGTAGGTACTTGATCAAGTGTTAACTAAAGAATCTCAGGTGACAAACAGCCTCAAACTTGTCTCAGGATAAACCATTTTCCCCTTGACATTAAGGGTTGCATCCAGATGACTGCGGTCCTGCAGTATGTGGCACCGCAGACCCATCTGTGGCACTGCTGGACTGAAGCTGAAGCTACAGTTTAGGGACTCACAAATGAGGTGCCTCTGAGTTGAGTAACACAAAAACCCTGGACATTTTCATTCTAATACGACAAAGATATACATATATACGGCTCCACAGTTGTTATTCATAGGGAGTCTATACATTTGTGCAGAAATAATAATTCATCTTAAAATGTCATGAAAATCTGTTTTCGTAGATTACTTTTATCATATGCAGCCTCTTAAACTGGACACAGTTTAGGGCCTCAGCATGCCATAATCCAGCACTGCTCTGCGGCACCTCACTGCTGCACATCGGGGCCTTCCTCGCGCTGCCACCTCGTAGCACTGGGGGGAGGGGAAGGGTTGATCCCGGGGTCACCCCCCAAAACTGGAGCCTGCCCCGGCCGGAGCCACGCTCCCGCTGCCGACTGCTTTTTAGACTAGCAGGAAAATGCAGTAGCGGCCTCAGTGCATAGTCTTGACGAGGTGCCTGCCGCAGCCGCGTTCTTCTCTCCTGCTGCCCAGTCCCCTCCCCCGCGACACCAGCTAGAGGCCGCGCCCACCCGCGCACTAACTGCAGTTCCGCGGCATGGGCAGCAGATGGCGCCGCCCGCCGTCCCGCTCACCACCGCTCTGGTATCCCGACTGTTAGCTCTATGACCCGGAAGTGTTGCAGAGTGCAGCCCTAGAGACTCAATGCCCCAGTTGCTAATTCCACTTCCGCTTTTCCGTCTCGCCGACTTCCGGCGGCCTGTGCATAGCGTCGCCGGGCGTCGGGGTGCGGGCGAGCGTGCTGCATCTGAGTGAGTGGGCGAGACCATCAGCCGGGAGCAGCCAAGTCCGGCGGGGCGAGGGGACCCTCCCGGCAGTCCGGCGGCCGCAGCGGAGCGGGTGACGCACCATGGCGGCGGCGGCAGCGGTGGCGGCGGCCGCCTCGGTCCCACCCAAGAAGATCGTGGCTCCCACCGTGTCCCAGATCAACGCCGAGTTCGTCACGCAGGTTGGGGTTAGGGGGGAGCGGCTGGGGCTGGGCCGTAGGGCGCGTGGCCCGCGGCGCTGCCTCAGCGGGGTGTGCCTCTTTCCCTTGCAGCTGGCGCACCGGTACTGGGCCCCGCACGTGCAAAAGAGGCTGTCCTTCGATGCCAAGGTGAGCACTGCGCACAGCACCAGGGCAGCACTGCATCGCCCCAGCAGTACGGTTGTAACCAGCTGTGTCAGGAGCGCCAGGGAGCCGGCCTGGCGCCTTGCCCCATGCTTGGTTCTATTTCTGTCTCTTCTTTCCCCCCCACTTAAGAATAAAGGCGTGTGGCCAATTGTGGGAGCCCCATGTCGCCAGGTGTCAGAGTGCAAAGCTAACTGCAGCTTTTGGTGTTTGTAGAAACAAGTGTAAAGCACATGTGTTGGAGGGAGCCCACAGGCTGGACCCACTCCATGGAGCTCTAGGGTCTGATCCCAGCCCTGGCACAGCATGTGGCACCTGCACCAGGCTGGCCCTGCTGTGGTCTCACTCCAGGGCTGGATCGGGCTGCAGAACCCCCATGTAGTCCAGAGCCAGCATGGAGGGCTGGTCCAGTGTGGGCCCCATGTGTGCGCCGTGCCACCCTTGTGTGCCTTGTGTCCATGGACCAGGATGTGCCGTACGTGTTGTACGGGGCGGGACCTGATGCACACGTTGCATGCAGCCCAGGGAGCTGGTCTGTGTGCACACTAAATGTGGCACCCTGCCAGACTGACCCTGCACAGTGGTTCTAGGGCCTGTCAGGATCAGTATTTTCCTGCTTTGGAGCCAGTTTGCAGGGCTAGTCCAGTGCAGGCATCTCATACCAGGTCTGCACATGTGCCTCAGACTGGTGCCAGAGCACACTACACACAGTGCACAGGGTTGGTCCAGGACACGTGCTATATCAGCTGCTCTTGCAAAACCAATGCTGTGTGCTGGCTCTGGCACTTACCTCACTTATGGCTGGTCTGTGTGTCTGGTCTGGATGTCTGACACTCCTGTAGTGGAGCATCCAAACCCTTCCTTTTCTTTCTGTCCCCCCACCGCCAAAAAACCCCAGCAAAACAACAAAAAGCCTTATATTTTGGACTAGTTTGGAATACAAAGGACTTGTCGACAGAAAATAGGACTCCATCTGAACTGTAAATCAATTGGAACTGATATTTATGTAGCACTCTCTGTCTGCTGTAATGGTAGAGAAGAAGAGCCTGTCACGTTTTAGGTCTTGGGATGTGTCAGAGCACCGTTTCAGGTAGTATAGACTGTGAGGGTTTAGCTATACAACCTGTACAAATGAATGAACATTCGAAATGTAGAAGTCTGCACAGAGAAGTTCTGTCATGTTACCTGAAGGTACTGTTAAAAGAGACTTAGGGTTCACAGAGCCAGTTATATGTACATTTTTCTTCTAAATTGAAGCCTTTTAAGGTGCAGAGGTGTCTTACCTGCATTGGGGTCCAGGCTTCCTTCTCCTTCCACTTTAAACCTGGGCACAGAACCGTGTTCAAATTTGCAGATGACACTAAGATGTGGGGAGAAGTGGGCATGCTAGAAGGGAGGAATAGGTTGCAATCAGACCTAAACAGGTTACAAGGGTGGGCGGATGAGAACAGGATGGGTTTCAACACTGACAAGTGCAAGGTGATGCACCTGGGGAGGAAGAACCAGCAGCATACCTGCAGGCTGGGGAACTCCCTTCTTGTCCGTGCAGAGGCAGAAAAGGATCTTGGAGTCATTATTGATGCCAAAATGAACATGGGCCGACAGCGTGGAGATGCGGTCAGGAAGGCCAACTGTACCTTGTCTTGCATCCACAGATGCATCTCAAGCAGGTCCAAGGAGGTGATCCTCCCCCTCTGTGCAACACTGGTCAGGCTGCAGTTGGACTACTGCATCCAGTTCTGGGCGCCGCACTTCAGGGGGGATGTGGACAACATGGAGAGGGTTCAGAAGAGGGCCACCCGCATGATCAGGGGGCATCAGGGCAGGCCCTACGAGGAGAGGCTATAGGACCTGAACCTGTTCAGCCTCCACAAGAGAAGGCTGAGGGGGGATCTAGTGGCCATTTACAAGCTAGTCAGGGGGGACCAGCAGGCATTGGGGGAGTCCCTGTTCCCCCAAGCACTACCAGGAGTGATAAGAAATAATGGTCACAAGCTGGCAGAGGGTAGATTCAGGCTAGATATCAGGAGGTGCTACTTAACTGTCGGGGCAGCTAGGATCTGGAACCAACTTCCAAGAGAAGTGGTGTAGGCTCCTACCTCGTGGGTCTTTAAGAGAAGGCTGGATGAACATCTTGCTGGGGTCATTTGACCCCAGTACTCTTTCCTGCCACGGCAAGGGGTTGGATGATCTGCTCAGGTCCCTTCCGACCCTACCAACTATTAAACTATTGTATACTGTCTCCCAGATTTGATGAGTTTTGGCTGCTTGCAAATTTACACTTCAGGAGGTATAACTAATGGTTAATAAAGTAACCCAAAACACAGAGTATTGCTTAATGTCAACAGTAGGAGCAAAGTGCTACAAGCAAGGTTTTTAATAGTTAAAAATGACCTGAATACCTGTCTGTGTTCCTTAAAAGCTTAGGTAGGCCTAACTTACTCACCTGTGGGTTGTTGACGTTCAGCACCTCTTTCAGAGTCAGCCTCACTCCAGCCTATCATCTGACTTTCTTATGAGTTAGAGATGCACTGCTACATTGGT